CAATCCTTTCCACTCTTTCCCTAGTCTCCCCATTACCTATTACATAGTCTATCACCGATTCCCCATTTCCTGTGTACGTAAATTCTCCTTCTTCATCGTCCTTTATGACTCCATTCATTATCTGCCACCCCAACTCTCCAAAAATCTCACACAATCTCTTTCCCTCCCCATTTACTTTCTTATCCTTCGATCTTCTAGACTCTTCTTCTCTTTCTCTCTCTTCTTGTATTCTTCCTCCTTGTCCACCCGTCCTAGCATTAAAATCCCCACCTACTATGACCCTTACCCCCCTCACCTTTTCCTTCATCCGCTCCCTCAGTCTTCCTATCTTCTTCTCCAAATCTTTAGTAACATATACTCCTATTATTTTCCATACATCATTCCATACTTTCTGTGCTACTATTCCCTCTTCCTCCCCCTCCTTTTCATCTTTCTTCATTCTAATTCCTTCCTTCACTCCAATGATCATCCCTCCCATCGCTCTTCCCTTCTTTCCTCGCCTCTCTGCATATTGAACTTCCCAGACATACCCTTTCGTCGCCCTTCCTTTCACGATCTCCCATTCCCTTCTGCCCATCCACGTTTCACATATTATTACTACATCCCATTCTTTGATTCCCTCCTAAAACTCCGTGTCTTTATTCTTCCAACCAACCACATTCCAAAAAGCCACCTTTTACAATCTCCTATCCTTCCTTCTACTTTTCTTTTCAAACACTCCTCTTCTCCTCTCTCTTTTGTACCCCTCTTTACTCGTTTCCCTGTTCCTCTATCCATTTCTCCTCTATTTCATCCCTTCTTCTCATTCTATTGTTTACCCACATCCTCATATATCCTATTTGTACTCTCTTTCCCTTCCTTCTCTCCTTTTCAGCTTCCCGCTCTATCTTCCATCTTGCCCTTCTCTCTTCCGCAGTCAAATCATCTTCTATTCTTTCGTGTCTCCCATTTAATTCCCTCTTTGCCATCATTACTTTCCTCTTCACCTCCATTCCCTCCATCTTCACCAGCATCATACTTCTTCCGTTTCCATTCAACCTGCCCACCCTTTTTACTTCTTCTATTCTTTCCTTAACACCTATTTTCTCCTATACCTCTTCTATCACTTTTTTATTCTCCTTTCCTTCCACCTTCACTCCTTTTACTATAATATTGCTTCTTCTCTCTACCCTTTCCTTTTTGTCTACCCTTATTACTAATTCCCCTCATTTTCCTCTCTATCTCTTTCTACCCCTCCTCGTTTCCCCCCATTCCTTGACTCTCTTTCTCCTTTCGTTCCAGCCTTTCTACCTTCTTTTCTAACACTTCTATCTTCTCCAGTAGTTCCACTCTTACTTTTTCCCAACTCTCCCTCATCTCACTCAACTGTCTTGTCAGTTCCTCTCTCCCTTCCTCCATTTCCTTCCCTAATTTCTTTATATCTTCCTCAATATTTTTTCTCATCCCCTCTCTCATCTCTCTTAACATTCTCTCTAACTCCGATTTCTCTATTCCCAACTTTTCTGGAGTTCTCTCCACTTTCCTACTTCTTTTAAAAATCTTCTGTTCCTTCCCGCCGCCTTTCTCCTCTTCCATACCCCTCTCTTTTCTTTTTCCTTTAATCAACATATCTTCTATATTCCCGAAACTCCCCTTCCGCCCCTACTCAACCACTCCACCTTTGTCGGTCTTCCTCTTCTTTTTCCCTCCTCCACTTTGCTCCCCTCCGTTTCTTCATTCCCTGCCCTACCTGTCTCGATTAATTCTCCCTCCATCTTCTTCCCCAATATTCCTTACTGTCGAGACTATCCCAAACTATTTTAAACTTTCGTGCGCCCTACGTACTTTCCGCGCTCTCCGCTACGCGCCACCAGTGTTGCTCAGCACTAGTTACCCGCCACCTATCCTCCCTAACCACGTGCTCGCTGCTAACCCTAACCTTAACTAACTCCCACTTAATTTTCTTCCTCACCTACTTACTCGCTTCACTACTCTTTCTACTCCCTCAACAGCCCCTTGCAAACTCTATCAACTACTCTTCTTCACCACCTTTTCACTTCTAGATTTCTCCTACTAATCACTGAAAACCTCTGCACACTTTTCACACTGACCATGCACACAGTCACCGGAAACGGAAGTCCTAATTTAGAAACTAATTGACGGTAATTGGCTAGGAACCGTCCTGACACTGTAGGAGGTTGCTCAATCGGCCGCAGAACAATTTCTGGATATCTTCGCCATGACTGATAGGCCCCTTTCAATGAGCCCAGCTCCTTCCTAACTCTTACACTTGACAGGGAACACTGCAGGACGGTTTCTGGCTACATCAGAGCTGAGTGCTGATATGCCGCATTCAAGGAGCGTCCGCTTACGCTCGCTCGTTAAGCCTGGTTGCGAACTTGACACCCAGAACAACCGTTGCGAACTGATGATAGAGCGCTCTGGGTCTGGAACCTACGCCGTTTTATCGACAAAAGAATTAAGCTACAATACTCTATATGATAATCGCATCAAAGATTTGCGTCAGACTACGATCAGAATCGAAGTGACTTCGCGTATATTGCTGTCTCTTTTTATGGCGCGGTTGTTATCTCTCTCTTTTTCAACAAACGCGCGCTCTATGTAACGTCGATCTTTTATCGATGCGACAATTATCGATCTATTTTATTAAATGATTCTCGATTGAATATTGAACATAATTATTAATTAAATACGGTTATCGTCAATAAATAAAGAGCTTTATGGTTATAAAACACAAAGACCGTTATTATTATAATTAATTAATCGTAGAATACAAAAAAAACATAAAACGGTTACAAAAATTATAAAAATAAAATGTTTACATGTTTTTTTCCCTTCTTTTTCTTCTTATCCTTCTTCCTGCGGGATGTTACACTTATGTAATTCTTACTTATGTATTCTTTCGGGAAGTAAGTAGAATAGAAAGTTATTATATTTTAAAACGCTGAAAATATTTTGTCATTCTGAGAAAAAATTGTAAAGTTGCTGCTTTATAATTATATAAACAGATTATGGCGGCCGTAACCTAAGGAGTATAACGGGTGAACTAAAAAATCGAATTTAACTGATTTCAATGATTTTGAATTTTGACTTGCGTGGCCGGCCGCTTGACGGCGCACAGTGGGGTATTTGCCTCTCAAACGCGGTAAAAACTACTTTAAAATTTGCTCAATCTTCACACTGTCATAACATTGCTAAATTTCATCCAAATTTGATGACACAAATACCATTTTAAAGCTTACAGTTTCTATTTTTTAATAAGTCTAACGTTATCGCATTAGGATGTTTTTTTTAACAAAGGTATAGATATAAAAAATTATAAAGTTAATTATCCAGATCGAAAAAATTATTTTGTAATAGCCCAATCCTTTCTGAATAAAAGAAAAAAAAATCTAGCTCAATCGGACAAACAGTTCCTAAGAAAAAAATTCGTAAGTGAAGCCCGTTTTCGTCCAAATGGGCAAATTGCAAACTTCGAAGGTCTGTAATTATTAAACAAATTCGAAACCGGCAAAATGATGACTTAAACCCCTTCTAATTTCATATGGACTACAACATATTTCATTTAGAACAAAATCTTCGATGGTGATGTCGAAAAGTGATCGGTTTGGCGTTGAAACCGATGACTCAACATCGGTGTCAATAATAGTAAAAATCACTATAGATACCTGAGTAGCAGCTAGTAGCAGCTAATTCTTCTTTTATTTTAAAGGCAAGACTTTGCACTTTCAAATGATACCAAATAGAACGCGGGATTCCACGGGACTTTTTTAAAAATAAACAATAAAGATGGAAAATATTCAATACGGTATAATTCCGAAAATATTATAGATAATTAAATGAAACTTGGTACAATTAAAATACATACCTGGCACGTTTAAACCCATCATAGATTAATTAAATTGAGTGAGAATTAAAAGCATAAATAATAGTTGTAGTTTTTAAGAATTACGGAGTTGCCTTCTTTGAACCTCTGTACCCACGTTGAAAATTAATAAATGTGAAAAACAAATATACTACATAGTGGGCCAAATATTCAATTAACTATTTTCATAGTACTTTTTGACTTTAGAGATAATTTTCTAAAAATGACTTTTTACCGCGTTTGAGAGGCAAATACCCCACTGTGCGGCGGCCGGAATATTATTCTGACCTAATCTAACCTAATTCACTGATTAACAAGTTCACTAATTTAATTTTGTATTAGATTAGATTGGGTAAGGTTAAATTTAATATTCCTACCGCCGTGAGGCGGTCGGCCACGCATGCCAAAATTGAAAAAATGTTTGCCGCTTGCCGTCTACTACTTTTATAAACAACAACACTATGACCGGCAAGCTATATGTGCATGTTAAAATTTACCAAAAGGCACCTGCGCCTTTCTCACCAGCTATCGATAGACATCTGGATTGCCCTTTTTCACAATAGTTTCTTCGACCAGTGTCGGTACTATAGTCAAGCGGTGTTCGAAGTTTAGTTATAGAAGAAAGGTTATATGTATAGGAAAAGGTTAGTTAAAACGCGAAAAAAAGCGAAAGGTTTAATGCTTCGTAACTTTTGAACGGATCAAGACTGCCACTTTTTTCAAGGCCAACGTTACTCAGGGTCATGACCTTGACAACATATGTCAAGATCAAGGTCATCGGCGACTGGGATCTTTTTGTGCATAATTACCATATTATTCACATGGAATTTTAGTGGTGATGAACTCACGCGTTCGCGGTGGCCGTTGACACTTAATACGCGGTCACAAGGTCGAGATTTTAATGCGAATTCGTGAGATTACAAGAAGAAATACAGAACTGCGTTATGCACGTGCGCTTGCTATTCGAGACAGAACGATAATGGCCGATCAACCGGCTTCTTCTCGTTGACGTAGAGCGCGTTAATTGGTCGATCTGACCGGCATCTGATGTGGCTGCCGGTCGCGCTGCAGAGTGTTGCCGCAGTCCGCGTGGGGACGGTTTTAATTAGTTCATTTTTGAACATTCTGCCCGCCATCAGCAGCTCGTAGAAGATCGTGATGTGATCGTATCTGCAACAGGAAGTAAAGCCAACTTCGCAATTGGCCGAGTTAGAGTTGTCGTTGCCGTCGTGATCGTGACGCCCCTCGTCAGTCCATCTGGTCCAGGGTGAACTGCGAGTGCTCGAGCAAGAGGCCACTTGCATGGTAGGAAGCGTTCGTCAGTAAGCAGCACCACAGATCCAACGTTGATGTTATTGGATGGGTGATGCCACTTCGAGATTGATTGCATCCGTTGGAGATGTTGTGTTGACCAGTGCTTCCAGAATTGTTGCAGTTTTTGTTGTATGAAATGCCAACTGGCTCTCGGCGAAAGTTGAGTTTGTTCAATAGATAGCTCGGGCAATGTCGAGATCGCTCTTCCAATGAGGAAGTGAGCTAGTATGAGCACTGAGAAATCGTCAGGGTCATCGGTGAGAGGCTCTAGTGGTCGAGAATTAAACGTTGCTTCAATCTGGTTTAGAAGTGTATTGTATTCTTCAAAGGTGAGCAAAGTATCACTCACCGTTCGTCTCAGATGGTATTTGACGGATTTGACCCCTGCCTCCCACTTTCCTCCCATGTGCGGAGCAGCGGGTGGATTGGAACTCCAAGTAGTATTGTCGTTGACGAACAGCTTGGTTAATCGTTGATTGTCTTGAGAACCCTCGACAAACACCGATTTCAGTGCTAAGTCCGCTCCGATGAAGTTTGTTCCGCAGTCGGAGTAGATTGTGTGTGGAATGCCTCTTCTTGCTGCGAACCGTCGGTACGTTGCAATGAAGCCATCTGTTGAATAGTCGGTGACCAATTCGAGATGAACTGCAGACGTTGTCATGCATACAAAGACACAGATCCATCCTTTTAGTGTCTTCGCACTTCGCCCTTTCCACGTCTTGAGTGTGACGGAACCGGCGTAGTCTACGTGAGAAAATGGGTGTGAGGGTGTACCTCGAAAGAGAGGTAGTTGGCCCATCAGTTGATGGGCACAACACACCGCAGGATGTACGATTTAACTGGAGCTCGTCCACCGATGATCCAGTAAGTCTGCCTGATGTGAGCGAGTGTGAATTCTGTACCTCTATGAAGCGTTGCTTTGTGGGAGTGATCTACAATCAATTCAGACAGACGTGAATGACGTGGAAGTATGGCTGGGTGTTTACCTTCATAGGTCAACGGTGCGTTTGTGAGTCTTCCTCCAACTCGAATGACACCTTGATCGTCCATGAAGGCCGTCAGTCGGCTGAAGACGTGAGATGAAGGCAATGTTTGATTGTTGACCATCATCTTGAGCTCGTGTGAGAAGTAGGCCGATTGAGTGGCCTTGATCCAGAACGTCTTGGCCTTTTTCAAGTCAACTGGCAAATTTGAGACGAAAATTGAAGGTGCTGTCGATTTCCTCAGTTTGGAGATAAAGCTGAAACAAGCTGAGGTAATATGAAAGAGTTTGTGTAGTGAAAAGTATTTGTAAATCAAGTGCCAATGGTATTCGAGTTTTTGACACGTGAGTACGTGTGAGATTCCTGGACGACACTCCTGCAGGCAAGTGTCGTCAGATGAATTGTGTTGTGCAGGCCATGATTCACGTGATTGAGAAAGCCATGGTGGTCCCCTCCACCATAGCCTATGTTGTTCAAGCTGAGCAGTTGTTAAGCCTCGTGATGCGCAATCAGCAGGGTTCGATGTGCCAGGAATGTGAATGCAATGTGCAGTTTGCGTGATTTCTTGAATTTGTGTCACACGATTCTTGATGTAGTCCTTCCACCGCGATGCGTGAGATTTGATCCATGTAAGTGTCACTTGAGAGTCCGTTGAGTTTGAGATTTGTAGCAATGTTGAGAGTCCGTAGCAATGTTGAGATTTGCTTGAACGTATTTCATTAATTTTGCCAGCATCAGAGCAGCTGTGAGCTCGAGACGGGGAATTGTCAGTTTTTTAAGAGGTGTTACCTTTGTTTTGGAACACACGAGTGACGTCACTTTGAGATTTGTGGACGGCGAGATAACAATAATGTATATTACTTCCGCCATGGCGAATTGAGATACGTCGGAGAAGCCATGTAGTTCCACTGTAGAATTGCTGTAGGTGTTGAACCACCTAGGTATTGAGAGTCTGGCCAGACTTGTAAGATCTTCTCTGATCGCGATCCATCGAGTTGTGACGTGGATGGCAGTGGATCATCCCATTTGAGATTGTGGAGCCATAATTCTTGCAAGAGCACTTTAGCTCGAATAATGACTAGTGATAAGAAGCCAAGTGGATCAAATATCTGTGCTACTTCAGATAGTACGAGGCGTTTGGTGAGATTGAGATTGTTGTGCGCCTTTGAAGTAAACGTGAAGCTGTATTCCATCGTAATCCGAGGATTTTGGTATTGCGTATTAGATTATGGGGTTTAAAACTAAATAAAACACACAATGTTAAATTAAAAGTGAACTTTATTATAAGCTCGGAAGGACGTTTTTATTCATGAAAGCTGAGCTAAGAAGTGAAGCTTTCTCCGAATGCAACGCAGGAAATTCGGTGCCCACTTTAGAAAGAAAATAACGGCCTGGGTCTGCAACGTGTTTATTACTCAGGCCTATAAGTTTAGATACGGCCAGAGACCCATTGACTCTGGTTACAAAGTTAGACCTTTTTCTATACAATGCACCCAGTGTCCCTCAACTCCACAATTCATTTTTGCTAAGCTAGGAAAGACAAATAATCTAACATTGCGGTCGTCTAAAGAGATTGATGTGCTCTGAGATTGATTAGAAGGCACAATGGCCTTGAGTAATGCGGACTCGAACTTGACGGTACATTTTTGTGATGTCTGTGGCGAAAATGCACTTGTGATGGCGAATCCACAGCAAAACATCTGAGATGTTGAGCAGGAGATTCGCACCAGTGTGCATGATGTCGTTGACAGAGAATCCAGTTGTTGTTGGACTCGAGCCATTAAAGACGACCCGCAGCTTTGTAGTTTAGCTGTCAAGCTTGAAAACTCCGTGATGTGGAAGATAGTAAATTGAAGAGTCGTTGGGCAAGATTGAAGAAGCCTTCTTCGTATGACTGAGATCCTCGGATTCCTTCATGAACCGCTGATATTATTCACGGTACTTATGATTTGTTGTGAGCTTGCTAAGCGTGCGCCACAGACAGGAGCGAGCTGTACTGTAAGAAGTGCCCAAGACTTTAGTAGATGATTTGAGAGGAATACGCACCACGTATCGCCCAGTAGGATCACGACTGTGCGTCGCACGAAAGTGATCTTCACACTCTTGTTCATCGGGTGTGAGTTGCGATATTGTATCCAATGGAAGTTCCTCTTGGACCCAAAATTTCGTTAGTAGTTCTCGCAAAGCAGCATTGCTGTCTTGAGAAATTGACGCGTTGAATGATGAATAAGCACGAGCTGATGATGTGCTTGCTGGTCCAATGACGAGCCATCCGAATATTGAGAGCTGGGCGACTGGCATTGATGGTGAACTTTTAATTAGATTTGGCTTAATTACTCGTCCATAATTGTCGGCACTGATGATGACGTCAATGAATCTTGGTTTGAAAAACTCAGGATCTACCAACTTGAGACGATTGAGATGTGGCCAGTTTTGCTGGGGTGCCTCAGAAGATGGCAAAATTGCGGTTAATGTTCGCAGAATATGAACTTGCATTGAAATTGACGAAGTATTGTAAAGAGATTGTAAATTGATTAATACAATACCTCGAGTTTGCGTTCATTTTTTGCCATCAATGCCAGTGATGGAGATTGACGATTGAGTGCGTTGAAGCCCCAGCTGTTCGACGAGATCTTCAGAAACAAAGCTGAGCTCCGAACCGGAGTCGACGAGCAGCTGTATGATGTAAGTAAAAGATGAAGAGATAACTTATGCATTTGCTGTTGCTAACATCGTTAGCTCGGTGTGCGTCGCAAGCGAGCTTGAGCATTGATCTTGCGTGTTGGCGGTTGAGATGGATCGTTGACCCATTAAGCTTGAGCTTGTTTGTGCGACGATTGCACCGACGCCTTATTGTGCGTGTGTTGTAGTGGTTGACGTTGTCGCTTCCTTATGAGACTCAGCAGGTGATGTTGCCGCCTGTGGCTGCGTTGCAGCCAAGTGAAGAATTGTGTGGTGTGGCCGTCCACACTGCTTGCAACGGTGTTCTAATTTGCAGTTGGCCGTAGTAAGGCGGCCGTAGCAGTTTCTGCAAAAGGACAGTTTGTCCACAAGACGTCGTCTTTCTTGGACGGTCATTGACCGGAACTTCGTACACGAAATTATGAAATGTACCGCCTGAGAACAGTCACACGGATATGCATGCGCAACTGCCCTCGCGATCGAAGAAGCCTGATCGTGAGTTGTAGTTAGAGCAGGTCGTTAACTGGTTGCCTTGGCTTTCACTTGGGGTTAAGTGGGTTGTTGCGTTGCTGTCGACTGCTCAACGCTCTCAAGAGCTCTTGCTTTTGCAGTAAGGAAGACCTCCAGTAATTCGGGCTTCGGGAAATCTGCCGTTGTTCTTAGACTTGTCTCCCTTTTTGTTTTTTTTTTCTTCAAAGATATTTATTTGCTTAGTGTGACATATATAAAGAAATGAAGGTGCAAATAACATATTACAAAAAAAACCTTAAACTAATGTGGGGGGACAGATACATGGCACGTGGGCACTCGCATTCGAGCGGTGGCGGGGTTAGATGGAAAAACGATAACATATGACAAGCGGTGACCAATTTGTCCAGTGCCTAACAGCAACAATAGAATGTGGTAACCTAGATTTGTCTCCCAGGCCTCTCGCGTGGACTTGTCAAGGCTGCGCGAGATCTGATGAATCAGCATGAAGTTGCACAATCCTCTGGCGTGGCGAGAGCGTACAACGAGCTTTTGAGATCGCGGAGGTTGAATACCGCGTTGTGGAGTCCCACAGGAGTCCTTTGATGCACCGGCGGTGTCGAGTATAATTTGTCGAGAAGTGCCTGCATAATGATGCACTTGTTTTCGAAACGTTGTCTCATATTCGCCCACGTGAAGGGAAATGAATCACTGGTGAACGGTAGGTTCGAAACCACACTCGTTGCGTCACCTTGTAGACATGAGCATAGATAGTGCAATTTCTCGACTTGAGAGAGTTGCTCGTTTTTAATTATTATCGAGTCAAACAGTTCACTAAATGCGGGCCACGCCTCATAATTACCGGCAAATGTAGGGAGCGTTATGTCCGGTAATTTTGACGGCATCCGTCGAGCGGGTGAGGCCTCGCGCTTCTCGCGCAATCTAGTAAAGGCTGCTTGATAGAACGATGTCCAAAAGTGGCCAAACTTTGCCCACCATGTAAATGTATGAAATTAGTCTATCTTTATGTTTCTGGACCTGCTAATTGCGAATCTGACGCTTAACATTGGTCAAAGTTTGGTGAGCTTTGTGAAAATGCATTTTTTTTGCATACAAATCTTGTTTTGGGGGAGGCGTTACCGTACAAGATTTTGAACACTTTTTTTTGCTTTTGAAAGAGCGATAGGTCATTTTGATAGGTTTTTTCCGTAGATTACGAATTTGAGAACAAAAGTATTCCATTACATCACGTTTTTGATGTAAGTTTAAAAGAAGGTTTAAAAAGTGAAAAGTGTTTTTAAGGGGGGAACCTCATGTAAATGGTCTGTTTTTCAAGAATTTTTTTTGGAAAATGTAATGCGCAGATTGATTTAAAATTTGATATGTCATTTATTAACGTTATAATGTAAACAGAAATATTTTTTATAAATTTTAATTCTTAATAACGATGGTGCAATGGCGGCTTGAAAATGGTATCCTGTAAATTCGCCGTGCAGGGTACAATGCACAAAAATGATCTGGAACAAAAAAATCAAAATGGAATAGCTACTTTATGCAAAAACGCTCAGCATGACATTTTTCTTTTATTAAAATTTTCAAAATTGCGAAAATGGCAAAGTTTTGAAAAAAAAACCGGAGTTTCGGTTATGAAAAATTGTTAATAACAGTATTTTAAATCAAAAATAAAGAAATCGGAGCTCGTCATGCTAAGACCAATTGTTTATAGAATATATATGCCAAGTTTCATAAAGATCGAGTAATTAGTTTTTGAGCTACGTTGCACAGCATGCGAAGTTTTGCGTTTCGAGAAAAATGCGTTTAAAACTTGAGTAAGAGACCGCTCCGCCCAATACAACCGTTCACTTTATTTTGAAAATAACATACAACAACATCTCTAATCACTTTCTAACTTTTTTTATCGCATTCCCGAGGAAATTTCCTATCGATTTAAGCGAAAAAAAAAAATGCGAAAAAATTTCATTTTACATGAGGTTCCCCCCTTAAGTGTTTATAAAATAATGTCAATTATTTTACGAATCGATGATTTTATTGAAAAAAAAAAACAAAAGTTGCATGGCGTAAAGAGAAACACATGATGGAAATGTGGACTTGACCTTGAGTGACCTTGGCAAAATCAGGTCAAGGTCATTAATGGTTTTTAAATGGAAACCCCTATTTTTTATTACATATTCTTGCAGCTTATCTCGAGAACTTTCTAAAACACTATAATAAAGTTGTGAGGAGATAGGTATAGAGGCCACGAAACCGCGGGCTCCTGCGAGCCTGCAACCAGGACCCCGCCGGCACGCGCCGCTGGCGCGAACACCGTCGCCAGGTGGCGACCGCGCGCACCGACGAAGACGAGATAAGCTCTCCGAGCGTCACCCCACGAATGCGACATAGCGAGACAGATCAGCTTCTATTTTTGCACTCCTCAAGCTTCCTTCAGCAGCGATCGACGGACGAGTTGCGACTGCGGTCGTTCGCCGATAGGTGCGCTGTTCTCGCTGGCCACTGCTGGGATTCTCCCGAACGGCTTCCCGACCGCCGAACCGGACGCATGCGACAGCCGACCGTCTACCGGGTCAACGGTCATTCGATTGTCGGAGTTTGGACGAGTTCTGACTGTAGTCGTCCGCCTCAGGGACATCTAGCTTCGTATCCCGATCATCCCTCTAACTCCGCCGCACCGTGCCACGCCACGACGCGCACCTGCACCGGGCCGCAACCGTGCCGATCCGTGACCGCGCCGACCGTAACCGCGCCACACCGTTAGAATAAGTATCGCTGTTAGAATAAGCACCGCCGTTAGGATTAGGTCTCGCCGTTAGAAATAAGGGTAATTGTGCACAAAAAGACCCCAGTTTTGACATATGTTGTCAAGGTCATGACCCTGACAAGGAGTAGGCAAGCACTTCGGGTCTCAGATTTAGTTGAAACTTCGTACATTTATAGATCTCGTTTCCCTGTTTACGAATATATACCATTATAGGCGTAGATGCTCAATAGTTTTTTAGATATTTGTATTTGAAGTTTCATTATA